CCTGGTAACATACCTTTCTAAAGATGAATTTGTACTAGTTTGTCTGCTGCTGTTTCATTGTGTTCAATTCTAGAATAGTCTTTTACTTTGAAAAGTGATAGTTTTATTTTATGTTCTTTGTACCATTCTGAGATTTGTAGCAATATATTATGGTTTTTCTATATTTTTATGATCTTTTTAGTGCTTTCTCTTTGTGTTTCCTGGATTCTATTGATTGCTACTTGATTGTTGATGAATATGTTTGCTGTGCTGTATTTGGATAAGGTATATAGAGCTGTTAGAATAGTTGCTATTTCTGCCTTGATTGATGAGAATGTCTAGTTATTTGTCTCTAGAAAGTGTGTATTTCAAGTCTGGAGTGATAATAACCCACCTCAGTCCCATGTAGTTTTTGTTTCTAAATTTAGTTAGAAAGTTATCTATATATATATCGAAGATTGCATAGTTATTTAATTTTTCTTTGATTGTTTTTAGGGTGGTTAAACTATCTATGGAACCTTTTATTGTGTTATTTAACTTTCCTAAGCTCCTTTGCAGCCTTGTTGAAATTATGATTTCAGTTTTAGCTTCTTGTGAATTTATATTATCTTATGTGGTGTATTCCATGAGTGTGATATTAAGAGAGTTAGAAGACACTTTATTTCTCTATTGAAGTTTTCTGTCTGCAATATTGATTTTGTTCATTGATATTTTGCTTTTTTGCACTAATATTGTAATTGATTTTGTTTTGTGACAGTGAAACTGCATTTACTAGTATTGTCTTCTAGTATGTTGATGTTGCAACCAAGGTATATTTCTAGGAGAAAGCTTTTCAATTTCTAAATATAGTATCTATATTGTGTTATATGCTGATCGATTTTTTATTGTTTCTTTCCAATAACTCCCTTACCTTCCTTGATAATGTAGATCCAATGTGGTCTAGTAATTAAGGTTTTAAATGTTGGAGCTCCTTGTTTGAATGTATTTAAAGAGGTATTCAGGAAATTAAAAACCACATCTTTTATTAACATATATACTATACAGATTTCACAAATATATCAGACCTTCTTCCTCGGAGTCACAATTGAAGGATCTATACAAATCCCTTTTTACATATTTGTCAACAAGTAATTATATATTTTTGAAGTAACTTATCTATATGAGTAGCTATATCTACTCTATTTTTATATATAACTATTATCTATTTGGAAAGATGTGCGATTTCTTCTTAATTTTTTTTAAAAAACTTTTATTTATATTAAGAGTAGTTTGATTATTAGGTCATTGAATTTTCTTTATCTTGAACTTTTCAGATTTCTTAGTCCTTCAGAGTAATCCATGGATTTTTCTTCCCATTAAGGCCTCCCAATAGTCAAGTTTGTAAAATCTAGCACAGCTACATACTTGAATTCTTGAACAGATACCTCAATATTAAAGCAGGGAACTGGGAGATTTTTTTAATTGATTTACCATTTCTTTCTTTAGCAATATGCTACTGGTTCAATATTTACCTTTCTTATTATCAGTTCTTTTTTAGTAACATGGTTATGTTAGGATAATCTTACCTTATTTTAGACATTAAACCATATCACAATCTTTATATAAACCATCCCGTAACTATATTAGAAATCCCATTTAAACAGTGATCAGAGCTATATTCAAAAGTATCAGTTAGTTTACAGTTATGTCAATAGAGTAAATCTACTAGAATCTAGAGTTAATTCTTGAAGAATTTGATCTAGTAACCTTATAATATAACCTATGGAGTACTAACCACTGCACTATTGATTTATAAATTATAATATATTATATATTATAGTATTGTTATATAAATTAATTATATAATTATGACTAGACTATTTTTAGTATGAAAAAATTTCTAATCATATAATTACTACATATAATAATCAATAAGAAAAAATATATGATACTATCTTTATTTTTTCTAAAACAATTTTTTAAATAATTTGATTATTAGACCATTGTATACTCTAAGCTATATCAAAGTTTTTAGATATTTCAATATGGTGCTAGTAAATTTATTCTTATACCAAAATTTTTTAATTACTAGACTTGCAAAATTCAACAAATGTATGTTGATAGACATATGATTGATAAGCAGTTTACTTTTTTGTACTAGCATATCTAGATGAAAATATCTTTTAAGATACTCTTGTATTTGTAGTACAATTCATTATCAAGAATTTCCTCAATTGCTTAATCTCTGAGAAAATTATTTTTTTTGATTAATAGATAAGGTTTTATATATAGTATAGCCTTTTATAACTAAATAAAAAAAGTTGATAATAGAATTATAGTTAATTACTAAAAATAAATGATCTGATATTAATCTATTATTGGAATAGATCAGATAATTAACTAGTTCATCTTGTCCAAATAATCTGATGATATCAATAACTGAATTTGTATTGATATTGTTAATATCAATATCAGCACTAATAAGTTCTGTTGCATTATATGCAGTAATGAGATAAGTAACCTTTTACTTCTTTTTTAAAATTTTTAAATTATCCACTTTCATAGCTATCAGTTTGTGTATACTATTGAAATAGTTCTTTATTGCTGAATGATTATTAAAGTCTTTTTTATGATTATACATTTGCATATCTTTAAAGATGAAGGTTATTTGACTTTTAATTGTTTATAAGTAGATAGACCTGATTTTTTTCTTTCTTGAAGCTGGTTTTTGTATGATTTTTGTTTTCTCTTTTTTTTTTAAAAAAGTTAATATTTACTTGCTGAGTAGAGATAGTAGTTTGTTTAGAGTTACTGAAATAAATAAAGAAGGTCATTTCTATTTATTTTAAAAGGAGCTTCTTGACTTGAAATAATTGTTTAGTTGATCTTGAGTATTTGAAAACAGTATTATAAGAAAAACTAATCTCTATAAAAATGTTTGTCATGATATTAATTTATAAAGAACTTTACTTCGTTGTTTGCTTTTTTGTGAAAATTTCCTTATAAGAAAATTTTATTTTTGAAATAAGAAAGAGTCAATTTACTTTAATAATTTCATTGATTCTCTTAAGTATTATTTCAATATATTTTTATTAACTTTTTTAGTTTCAGATGTTTAATAAATTATCCTAAAGAGTTTTTTTATTTTAATATCAATATCTAAATTATTAACTCTTTTTTTTTTATATTATTTCAAATATTTTTTATTGAATTTAAGTCTGAAAATTGTAATGGTCAAAAATAATTTTAATTTTTTTGTTTTTTGACTATTTTTGAACTATTTTTGTTTTATGTTTTGAATTATTATCAGGTTAAAATCATATTTTTAGAAATTAAATTATAATAATTTAATAAATACATTAATTAATTATTTAAAATTTGATTATAAAAATCATTATTAAGGTTTTTTTAATTCTAAATAAATATCTGATACCAAATAAGTAAACCATTCTCATAAATTAATGCTATTTTTATAAATTTAATTATAAGAATTAAGTATTGTTCCTTTAAAGATTTTTAGATTTTTTTCAGCAATATTTTTATTCTTGAGCTTCAAAAAAGTTGAAATTTGGTTTTATTAGATTAAATAATCAAACTTCAATATTTTATAGTCTAATTTATATATTGTTTTGCAAATTTCAATCAGATTTTTTATATTTTTTACTTAAAAAAAATTTCTTTTTTTTTAAATCTATATTTCTTAAGAATTCTTTGAATTATTCTAATACCAATATTTATTTTTTCATATTTTTTTAATGACTTATAGATATCTGAAATTGTTTTGCATTCTTCATTTATTAATTTTCTAATAATCATACATTCCTTATGTGGAGTAAATTTAAAGGGACAATCTGAAATAGGTTTATTTTCTAATTTGTTTGTTTCTTGATATTTTTTTTTAAGTCTAAATATGGTAGAGTAATGAACATTTTCATCAATTTTGATAGCAACCTGGTGTAAACTATAATTTTCTTTTAATAAGGTTTATAGATAATTGTTTTGAAAATATTGATTTATAAAAAAATTTGAGAAAATTTTTACATTTTTTATAATTTTTTTAAAAAACATCAAAAATCATAGTAAATTTTCATTAATTTATTGTTTTTTATTTTAATCACTATTCTATTGATTAGATCAGGTTATACACCAATAATTTTGCCATAATCTGATCTGATCTGATCAAGATTTAAATGATTAACGATCAGCGAACAGGTGTTGCATTTTTTTGACGGACGCTGTAGTTAATCCTTTCAGCCAAAATATTCGATAACCAACCAAATGGAAATTTGTACTGTAATGGAAAGATATTCATGCGGTGATGATTGGAAATTTTTATAAATACTCTTTCTATATTCCACAGCTGATCAACACTATGCCAGATGGTTTTTCGTACTGTGCCACGAACGAGAGGTTAAGAAATAAAACAAACACTATCCACATAAATTTTTTTTTTGAATCCAATATGATTTATTAATCATTTAATTACACTGCCGTTCTGGCTCCTCGTATGGAATAGATGGGAAAACAATAATTTTAACAGTAATCTTACATTAACGTAGAAGATTAATTTCCTTGTAATTTGGTTTAATTAATAAAGATATTTAGAGTTTTACAAAATCTGGATGTATGATATCTTTACACATTTTTCAGACCTATTATTCGAAAGAATTATTATTTTAGTTAAACTAGCATTTAAGCTGATCCACGTAAATGACAAATCAATTGCGATGTAGCAAAGACGCATACCATATCGGCTCCTCATACAAAAATGTATCAATATAACATCCCCCTTTTATGATTATTCCTGCCTTGTTTTTCTTCCTCGCAATGATATTCCCCGGAAATGAACCTCTGTATATGGGATTCATCATCGCATGCCTCTTTTTATATTATGTTGCGCAAAAGATCAATAATGAATTCTCCGCGTGTGATGCAAAAATCTGCGAAATCAGAGCCGAAATTGACGATCACATGGAAAAAAATAATTCCCGCGACGCTAATTATGCAACGGAAGCACAGAATATAATATCCAGATTAATAATATGCCTGGGAAATATAACGAAGCCAAACAAGTTCCAGAAACCTATCATAATAATTTTAGCCGAATTGCAACTGATTCGAGAGCGAAATCAATCAACGAAACCACCTTGTCCAGAATACTAATAGGAGAGGATCTGACCAGCAAAGCGAAGCTTCGTCATCTCATATTCCTCGGATTAAAGCCAAAGATTCTCGAATATCATTTCTGTAATTCGGGAACAGTTTTGGATATCTTTCTTAGAGTTAAGGGTGATTATACTTTAGATCAGATGTGTAATGTTGTATCGGCTGATATTCTTGGGCTTGGGATGGGAGCAATTGGAAAAGATACAATAAAGGATTTTACAATGGGAATAGTATAAGAAGCGAAAACTTAGAAAGATAAGTGCTTAGATAGATAACAATCATTTGTACCACTACTGAGTAGCAGGGAAGGAACTGCCATTATATGGATTAGGTCTCGACAGGTATCGGAATTCTAGTGTAGAGGAGGTGAGAATCTTATAGTTAGTCACCGGTGCGGAAATAAATTATCTTTAGAAATTATCGAGAGCAAAGAAATAACTTATGCTTGGACTCGCTCTTTTTCAAATTTTAATCGTGTGGTTTGTTATTATCCGATTTGACTCATAAGGGCTGTGACTACCAAGAAATAACTTGGATATTCACTGATTCGTAACTTCATCGCCAGGGACTGGCCGACACGGAGCTACGGCTTCTCCTAAGTATCCAAAGACAAAAAGGGAAGTTCTCACCGCCAGAGACTGGCCGACATGCGAAACCTCAGCAAAATCAATAAATCAACTGTCACCGCCAGAGACTGGCCGACGCGAACAGTTGTTAGCCACAAGTAACTCATAACTTCACCGCCAGAGACTGGCCGACACAAAGCTATGGCTTCTCCTAAATGTCCAAAGATCAAGGGACTGGCCGACATGAGAAACTTCAGCATAGTCACATTACCCAAAAATACAAACATACAAACAACGAGGCAAATCGTTTTTAACCTACATTACGGATCATGTGATATAGAATCGCGACTTAATAAACTCGATTGATCGCGTTTTGATAAGAATAGAAAATGACTGATCCAATATCCACGTACATTTTTTACCTGATTATTTGGATATTAACTATTATTTTAAAAAAGTAGGTACCCAAAACTGGAAGCTTAAACATTATCTAAACTATCGCCTGGAGACCGAAAATATAATTCCACTGTTTATGAAGATTGGATTGATTCACTCGACATTATTTCAAAAACTAATAACAAGAAAGTTTCCATCAGTGTAATTTCGTTTTGCAAGGAATTAATGAATTTCAGTACTTTTGAAGGAGAATTAATCCTAGAGCGTTGTAAGGAATGGTATCATAATTTCTACGAACGTTACTGTGATCTGCAACTCTCAGAGAGGGTCCAGCATATAGAAGAAAAAATATACTCTTCTAAAAAAGCAATATATTCGACACAAAAATTATCAGAGCTGTTACAAGGAACGACAGATACAAAAAAAAAGAGAGCACAGGATGACGATGACAACAAAGCAGGCCCGTCAAATGAAAAACGTAGTCGGCATGAGGTGCATGAGTACACTGTCTGATATGCTATTGGATATCGACGCCACTTTATTTCTAACTCATTCTTATTATGCTACTAGTATTTATCGTGAGAGAGAGAGTATTATCAACGTGTACAAGACGAGCTACGAATACTTGAGTATTTAATTGAGGTACTTATATTTATTTTATAATCTTTAACGCGAAAACATATTATACAAACTGACCCACGAACTTTTTGGACGTATTCGTAGGCTGAAGAACCTCCGATTGAGTGGGAATTCAGTACACCAAAACCAGATTGGCTAGATAAAATGGCACGGGAACATCAATCGTTAACTTCCACAATGTCTTCTAATAATGATCCAAAAATTCGACATGAATTGGCATCGAAGTAAATAGTTTTTGATAAATGTTGATTTTTTCGTTATTTGTGTATCCAGATTCTAATAAGTTTTTTTTTTAAAAGTCCAATCTTGTGGAATATCATTGATTTATCTGATCAAAGAATCACGAACCTTTTATCAGAAAATGAATTATCGGAATTAAATACAATAATTTCAACTTCTCTTAAAAATTGGACGATCTTGGAACCTATGGCAGAGAGATATCTATGCTCTTTAGCAAAATTATATTATGAAAATTAAAGTATTTTGATTTTTTTAATTTTTTTCAGCTTGATGGTAATCAACTCCGCATCATTGGTGAAATTGTAAGGCCCAAGGGTACGCACGGTGCAATTCGTGAACTGCAAAAAATATTAAACAACATTAAAGAAAAATCACCCGAAGAATCAGATTATCTCTTTGAATATAAACATACTTTTGAAAATGACGATAAAAACCTTCACGAAAAAATCCTATTATCTATTGAAGATCACACAAATGCTGATGTTGCATTCATTTTCGATTTAATTAGGTTTACGTAAGTCCATTCAATAGTTTAGTATTAAATACACATGCAGTTTAATAAGTTTTACATCATATATAATTTCAATCAGATGCGAAATGATCGCAAAAGGAATCCCTCAGCGACAAAATTCTGATCGAGACATTGATATGTTTATAAAGAGACACATACACCGTCTCCCAAAAAGAACGCAACAACTGATCGTCGATCTTTAAGTGTTAAAATTTTGATCAGATCAGATCAAATTATGATGAAATCAATAATATATACAGTGTATAATTTAATCTTTTTTTTTTAACCCTCAGTCAGGTTAGCATGGTGTGTCTTTATTATATATATACTAGGTATTTACAAATTGTTGTGATTTTCATATACTGACTCACTCATTGTTGAAAAAATATTTCTTTAAATGCAACCTAGGGAATGATATTTTGCTCCTTTACTAATTTGGTAATTTCTTTAATTAATAATATCATTGCCTACAAGTCATTACTGTAGATTATTCTAAGCTCTGTCTGCAGTTAAAAACCAAACCACTTTATTTCATAACAAACCTAATTCTTAATAATCATTGTATACTTCTTTCCTTTTATTTCTTTGATGTCCTCCAGGTTCAAATCCTCTGGAGGTAACGGCAATTCTTTTTGATCCTGTTCGATCTGTTTGTCAGATTTGGGCTTTAGCCTCTTGTTTCTTTTGTCCTCTTTTGTAATGTTTTGCTTTTTTTCCCATTTTATAACTTTGATACAACAAGTATTCCAAATCTCCTTTTTAAAATTTGCTTTCATCTTTTAATAGAGTTTACCAATTATATCCTGTATATTTATTGGTGGGATCTTGAGCTGCTTTTTGAGATACTTTTTCAAAGATATGGTTTTGCTTTCTTCCATATATTCACAGATGGTATTGAAAAGGCTCCTGTCAGATTCTTGGATCTCTTCTAACTATTTGTCTATCCAGTCACTTATTTTAAATTGAACTTCTTTCTTATCTTTTACTTCTTTACTGATGAGTTTCTTGAACTTTTCATTTGCCTTTTGCTATAAGTTCTTTTGAGTTTCCCTAGTGACTGGATATTCAAAAAAATGTTCTAGTGTCTCTTCTTAAAGTTCACATACTGAGCAAGTGATTGTAATATACACTTCTGGTTTCCTCTTCTTAAGTATTTGTAGAACTGAAAGTTTATTGTAAGTTAAGTTAGTTAGGAAACTTTTGTCTTTATTGATTTTGAAAGAAATATCAGAGGTATTGGTTGAATTGAACTGATTCCAAAAGGTTGACCAGTCTATAATTTTATCATTTTGAATCCAAAGATCCTGGATTCATTTCTGTGTTATCTAGTCTAGTCCAATCTTTTTCTTATTGAATATTTTAACAAAATCTCTAATATCAATTTCTATTGTGTATTCTCCTCATGCTACTATCATAAGGACTCTTTCTAGCTTTGGTAACTGATATCAAATTATTGGATTCTCCCACCTGGCCTGTTTGACAAATAAGTCTACTTGATTGTTGAATCTGTTGATTCTATGAGCTTTGACCTTTAGAATTTCCAGATTCAAGTCTTTCATCTTCATTAAATACTTGATCTTATTCAAAATAACCAGTTAGTTATCTTTGTCTATCTTCTTGTAGATGTCTCTATTTGTAAACAAATAAATTTCCATACTTTGATTACAATGTTGCAGTCAATGTAAATTGTAACTGTTATATTTTGGGAGGCTGTATACAATATAATGAGAATAGCTAGTATTTTAACTCTGGTTGCTAATAGTCATGTGGATGCTCCTGCTGAGAATTGTTTAATTATTTTGTTTACCTCTATCATGATTCAAGCTAATCCATTTCAGATTTACTATATATTATCTCTTTTTTATAAGCATTATCTGTGTAGATTGTAAGTTGATCAGCCATATTTCTTTTGTTATATCTTAAGATACTTTTAAATTTGTCTTTGTGTTCTTATATTTGCATGGCTTTTTCTATTAGTGTGATATTCAGTCTTCCACTTGAATCTCTACTTCAACTAGTCTGGAAATTGGTAGAGTCACTGTTTGTTAAAATTCATTTGTTTGCCAGTCTGTAGAGTTTCCTGGCAGAAGGATTTATTTTCTTTTTCTTAGATTGTTATGTCGATTAAGCTGTGATAGAAGGTAGATCTGTAACAGGACTATTTCTAATAGCTGCTCTATGCTGTTTGGTTAAAGATAAGTATTATTACTAGTAGAATCATATACTAGCTGATATGGGGTGAAATAGGTTTTGTTGTTTATGGATACTGTCTTTCCTCATATATTAGTTGAAGTATTAGCCTGAACTGTCCAGTAAATCTTTTTTCTATCTGGATTTATTGGAAATGTCTCAGTTTGTATATTATAAATTATCCATTCAAGCCCATATAGAGAGTTTTGTAAGAGATCTTGATTTACTGTTGTTTTTTTTCTTCACTTTTTTGTATCAGGAGAGAACCGGTTCTTTGCATCTGCTATAGAGGATTTGAACTGCTCTTCATTTCTTAAGCATCATTATGATAGTATTGATGAGCTGGTCTAGAAACATGATCTTGTGTTTTCATAGTGATGGAATGGCTTTTCCGTATTTTCTATTCTCTTGTAGTATAGATTTGATTAATAAGATACCTCTCTGATAATCGAATATATTTTTTTATTTCCAACTTTGAAAAGTGACTTGTATGCTTTTTACTAAAGCCAGTGTCATAGTTGCCAGGTTTCATTTTATCAACTTGTAAGAGTTGATAGGATTGCTTAGAATATTATTTGGCTCCCAATATTTGATTTGACTTTGTTTCAGTCTAATTATAATAGCAATACTAGAGGTCTCTTTATTGTTAAGCTGACAGAAAAGTGCAGGTATGTGACTTTCTAGTTATATCTTCTAGATACTTTTGAGGCCATATGTTCCTTTGTTATGAATACAACTGTTTGGAATCATTTCACTAACTAGGGCCTTATTCTTGAATACTTTCCTAAACATAACTATGAGATTATTACATATTTTTTTACTCAGATGCATGTGTTGTGTTTTGTATTTTATTCTTGGAATTAGGACCCTGTTGATAATATATCAGGTATGTTTTTCTGTCAACTTCTTTTTGGTTATTATGTCCTAATCTTTGATTTTATAAAACTGATAGTGTCCTGGTTTTTTTGTCTCAGTTCTAACCAAACACCAAGAAATCTAACTTGGTCCTTCTTATTGATTTTATAGACTATAGTATTCTCTGTTCCAGCTTGAACAGTTCCAAAAACTTGTGAGTTTTGGTTAATAGTAAGGAGAATTGACTTTTCTGCATTAATCTGAGAGTCATTTGCTATATAGAACTTTTTTGTTTTTCCAGAATCTTTTCCAGATCTTCTTTAAATTTGACAATCCAGATTGTGTCATCCATGTAGGCAATTACTGCCTGCCTTAAGGAGAGCTTTATTTTCTTTTCAGATTATTCTTCTTCCATGAAATAACCTAGTTTGCTGTTGTTTTAGATCTTGTATAAAAGTGGATCATAAAAGATTTTTTATAATAATGAAGAAATTATTTCTCCTTGATCTATTCCATCCCTTGCTACTATGGAATT